CTCTGGTGAAACAGGACCTTAGTACAGCTTTTGATATTAAAGATTTGGCTCCTCTCAAGTACTTCATGTGTATTGAAGTTGCTCATTCTTGTTGTGGGATATCTCTATCTTAAAGAAAGTATACCTTGGACCAGTGTTGTGAAAGGAGCGCCCTTAGGTGCGAGGCCCAGCGAGGCACATCTTCTGCGACTGAAGGGACCCAAGGCGAAGCGAGGTAGATGAGTTGCGCGCCTTGGCAGAGCCTTGGGTTAGGCGCGAACAGGCACATGGCGACACGTAATCGTGCCTTTTTGTATTTTTTTTTTTCCCCTGATGCTTATCTGATGGCTCTGATCTAAGTTTGAATGGGTCCAACGCATATGACTGCAACTCATACAACTCAATACCCAGCAGTCAAGACTCGAAGCCCTAAAATCTGTCGAAGAAAGGTGTCGTCCCTTCTCTTCGCGCAGTCTGCAGCTCATCGCGACTTCATCTTTGATTGAGGACTTCAACTTCGGGTTCAGGTGAGTCTTCTTCTTCTTCGTCTTCTTCGTCTTTTTTTTTTTTTTATGCTACTTATTCGCTGTGCTGCTGGGTTTTTTTTCCCCTTCCCCTTCTTCTCCTTCTCCTTCTCCTTCTCCTCTTCTTCTTTGCTGGGTGTTGTCGTCTCGTCTCTCTGTTTTTTTTTTTTTTTTTTTTTTTTTTTTTTTCTTGCTTCTTCATTGCTGCTGTTAGGTGGTGGTTTTTTTTTTCCCCCGTCTTCTTCTCCTTCTCCTTCTCTTCTTCTTTGTTGGGTGCTTTCTTCATCGCTACTGCTATTGGGGACTCTTTTTTTTTTCTCTTCTCCTTCTTCTTCTCCTCGTCCACCTCCTTCCCCTTCTTCTTTCTTGCTCTCTGTTTTTTTTTTTTTTTCTTCTTCTTCTTCTTCTTTTTCTTTTTTTCCTGCTGCTGTTGGTCTGTTTTGTTTCCCGTCTCTTTTAAGAAAAACAAATTACAAATAATTAATTAATCACACATTACATTAACTGATGGAGAAGAAGATGATGGTTTGCTTGCCATTGATGTTGATGAGGATGATGATTGACTGACCTAACCTATCCTTTTTTATGATATTGATGTTCTGAAATATTAAGACTTATATTAGTATTTGTTGGATATTTATGTTTTGGATGTTTAGTGTTTATGTTTTATTTTATGTTTTATTTTTTATTTTTTTATTTTTTCGTTGAATGTAGATTATTTTATCTTTGAAAACTAGAATGCTATGTAATATGCACCTTCATGGCATTGAGAATTAATCTATAATTTGTCTTGATTGCTTTTTATTTAAAAAAATAAAAAAATTGTCTTAGTACTATGAATGATTAGTTTATGTTAATTTAACTATTTTTTACTAAGACTATGCGCCTTACTTAAATAAAGCCCGCTTCTCACCTTGCGCCTTGCGCCTAGGCCCAAGAGACCTTCAGCGCCTTCATGCGCCTTGAGCCTTTAAAAACACTGCCTTGGACTGTTTTCATAACATTGGTATGTTAGGATGCAAACTTGCCTCTACTCCTATGAATCCAAACCTTAAGCTTTTAGCAGAGTCTGGGGAACTACTTACTGATCTGTTTATGTATCAACGCCTGCTGGGTCGTTTGATATACTTGACTAATGTTAGAATTTACCTACATCTACCACCACCTACTACCACACCTACTACACCTACCACCAATTCACCCTCACCTACTACACTCCACCTACCACCTCCATTACCATCTTCACCTACTCCCAAATCCTCTCCTATATAAATCCTTGTAATATACACAACATTAAGATATCAATCAATATATCAATCATAATATATACACAATTTATGCTCTCTCTCTATCAGTTTATTTTTTACATGGTATCAGAGCAGGTTTAGAATCGAATAATTCTGCTTCACCGGCGGGCAGCAGCCTCGCCTTGGCCGCCCGCCGGACCTCTACGCATACCTTCTTTATACCTTCGTTGGCATCATCCCTTCCGACCCTCAGCATCTTCTTCTTAAATTCCGCTTGCTTCTCTCCCTTCCTCCACTTCAAGGATAGATATATAGCTGAGAGTTGGCAGATTACAGCAGAAGTTGTGAAGAGTATATTGCTACCCAAGAACAAGAGGTGGCATCCAGTGGGAAGAAATATGGAGGACTTGTTCCAAAGAAAAAAAAAAAACCTTTGATCTCCAAGGATCATGAACGTGCCTTCTTTGATTCTGCAGATTGGGCCTTATGCAAGCGAGATCGCCAAGCTCGAAACCCAGATCTCCTATGGCGTCTTACACTACATCCTCTTCGTCTCCTATGTGTTACCTATGTTACAGGAGATGGACCTGATCAGCCTCAACCAAGGATGGCTTTCACAGGTGATGCATTATTAATACGTGGATGTGGGAGGACAGATTTTCCGGGTGGAAGTTCAGAACAGCTGTATAAATCAGTGCATTCACAGCTCTTTACACTGCCCAAGGACACCCTCATAAAATAAAATAAACACATATCAACACACTGCCGCAGCACAGGGACAAGGGCCACACACACACACACACACACACACAACACCCACGTTATTTTCCACTTTTCTTTTATTTTAATATATATATATATATATATTTTATTATAATATATTTCCACCATCCTCTACCATAATAATTCTCTCTCTCTCTCTCTCACTTTTAACCCTCTCTTTCCTTTCTTTTTATTTTAATCTTCACATCCACTATATTTTATCTTTCATATAAAGCAGCTGTGCTCTGCAAACATGCGATGATGATGTTTGTTTTAAAAAAAAAAAAAAGGAAAAAAAAAATAAAAAAAAAAAATAAAAAAAAAAAAAAAAGAGATTATTTTGTACTAGGCATACTTGGCTTAAGTTTACTTACCTTTCCAAATTGATCCTACGTGTACCAACCAGCACACAGGAACAAAACCGACAATATTCTCAAATACGACCTTTTCAACTTGTGATGATAAACACAGGGAGAGAGAAACATGGAGACCAAAGAAAATCTTTTTTGTTCCTATATTGATGAACTAGGGTTTCGATTTAGTGCGGCGACGAGGAGATGAGGAAGAGCAAAAGACGATGAAATATATTACGTTTCATTGGTAATCAACGGTCTAGGGCTTGGATTATGGTGGACAATGTCGACGACAGGTTGTGGGAGAGCAAACGACGACGAAATCAACAGATAGATGGCCGAAAATTGTCATCGTTGTGACCTGTAAGTAAATTTTTTGATTGTTCATCGAAATCTACGTTCCAGCGATTGGGATCGTGCGATTCACATCGCAAAGCGCTACGATTTCTGGTAGCCCTGGTTCTAGTGTTTAATTTGCAAGGATTTAGAGCTATATTTATGGATACAGATATAACAGTTGTAATAATATGTTGGATGATGGTAAACTATGTATATGTATGCTGTGCTGTCTGGCTAATAATAGTTTAGTTGATGATAGTTTGTTTTCTGAAATAACAGATGTTGAATATCCTGTTTCCTAATCGCTGCAAGTTTTTCTCTATTTTGCAGGATTCTTAATTTATGTTGAAATGGTCAGTAGAACTAATAGCTTTAGGAATGACTTTTGCTTTGTAATGCTGATTCCACATTTTTCGCAATGCAATTAGTATCGAATGATAGGCGGACAGAAGATAGTTCAGAGACAGAACCCATCTTGTGTCAGTCTAACATTGTGCAAAGATCTGAAGAATCTTCATGTTCAATTGAAATAAGAATTATAGACAGAGATTGTTCTGTTTCTGCTGATGACTCACAAAGTATTGATGTCGATGAAAATTGCAATCTGGTGAATGCAGACCAACCACAATGTCGTATATGCCTTGATATAACCTTAAGCTTTTAGCAGAGTCTGGGGAACTACTTACTGATCTGTTTATGTATCAACGCCTGCTGGGTCGTTTGATATACTTGACTAATAAAAGACCAGACTTGACATTTGCTGCAAGTGATGTGAGTCAATTCATGCATGCACCTTGTACTCTCATCTAGATGTTGTCTTCCATATTTTGAGGTATCTCAAGACTTGTCCAGGTCTGGGGTTATTCTTCTCTGCTGGTATCCAATTTGGACATTCTTGTTTTACTGATGTTAATTATGCTGAGCCGAAGACTGACAAATGGTCTACTTCAGGTTTCCGCACTTTCTGTGGTAACCATCTTGTTTCATGGAAAAGTAAGAAACAGGTGGTTGTCTCAAGGTTTTCAGTTGAAGCTAAGTATTGAACAATGGCCTAGTGCACTTGTGAGCTACTATGGATTCAGTCCATTCTTATTGAGTTACGCTTTGAGGAGAAAAGCTCCTCTTAATTGTTTTGTGACAATAAGTCAGCAATCGTGCTTGCATCAGATTCCATTGTTCATGAAAGGACAGGCATTCTGAGTCCCTTTTTTGTTTCTTCATCAAAGAAGACTGCTGATTTCTTTACTAAGTCAATAGCACTGTCTTTGCTCCGATCATCTATTGTCAAGCTGGGTTTGGTCAATATCTTTGAACCAATTTGAGGTGGAGTGTTGGAATATTGACTATCCTATGATTTATGGATCACGGGATTTTAGGCTTAATTTATGTAATTGTTTGATTCTGTTTTATTTCCTAAATTTGTAACCTACTCTAGTATATATATATATACAATGCCTAACCTTGACTAAGGTAAGCTGTTTCTTTACACAATTCTTTTGTTTGCACATAGTGGCTTCCTTGAAACGTGAACCTTCTTTCTCATGCATGGCAGTTTGAGCTTTTATTATTAACTTTAGACTAGCGTTAATTTAATTGTAAATCTTTTCTTTGAAATTGACATTAGGATGACCAGAAACAGCTAATGACCTCTTTACAATGTAGTGAATGTTTGCCACATCTAAAATGAAAATGTGACATCCTTCCCAGTTTTGTTGCAGCTTGCTTGCATTAGTTTCCAATATATTAGATTCGATTTCAAATTTATTGTGTTTTTTTTAAAAAATTTTTGCCCCCAGCAATGCAATCAAGTTTACCCATGAAGGGAAGGTTGGGATAAAGCTGTATGTGGTACCAGCACCATCTTCTGGAATGGGTGAAGGATTTAATCAGAAGATCTCTGCAGATAGGTCAACATTTTCAGTAAATACACCGGAACCAGATAAGTGTTTATCATTGTCACAAATTGGCTGTGATTGGAAAGGATTTCATGGACAGAAAAATGGGGAGTGTCCTTACAAAAATCATACACTTGACGATGAACCCAAAACCCCAGATCGAAATGGAGCCTCAATGGATGGATGTGAAGATGAACCAACAGTGTGGATACGCTGTGATGTTTATGACACGGGGATTGGAATACCAGGTATTTTTTTCAGATGCTCTCTTTGCCTGAAAAAAAAAATGCATTGGAACATTGAGTAGGGACTTTTGTAAATTAGCTTTCCACTACCGTAAGTTGTATTCTATAGCTGTTTAAAGTTTACTTGACTTCTGAGTGTAAAAATCACAGTTTTCATTTATTTTTATTTTTATTTTTTATGACAGAGAATGCTTTGCCTAATCTATTCAAGAAATACATGCAAGTAGGTGCAGACACGGCACGGAAGTATGGTGGGACTGGACTAGGCTTAGCAATCTGCAAACAACTGGTGATCATTTTTACCCATCATTTGTTTTAAAAATATCACACTCAATAGTTAGTAAACTGGATTATAATGTTCTAGTCCCATTTCCTCGTTAATAATATCCATAAATTTACTGTAATATATTTATTTCGTTACTGCTAATGATTTACCAATATTTCCTCTGATATACGACACAGGTTGAGCTCATGGGAGGTCATCTCACAGTGTCGAGCCAAGAGCACATTGGGTCTACATTTACATTTGTAATAGCATACAAGGTTTCACCTGAATGTGATAATTCAGATGATCCTGATGAACTCTCCGATATGGACGATCATAATGCTCCAGTAGATGCCAACGATGACGATACAAGTTCTGGATTTTTCCAATTCCAACCCCGAACATTGGGTTCTCTTTTCTCTTCTAATGGTTCCAGCAGGGCTCAAAAATTATTACCAAACAATGTTGCTTTTAATGCCTCACACGAACTTAACAGATTGTCAGAAGATCCCAATTCATTTATGGTTAGCAACATTGCACCAAATGAGTTGATTTCATTAGAGGATGCATGTTCGGTGGTTGATGGTGCTGACATGTCATTTGAACATGTAACTTCAATGAAGCACAGCCCGGACTCTAATAAGAAAGTCACAGTTGGTGGTGAGGTACTGTATCACAAAAAAGAAAATGGTCAATTCCATGGGGCAAGCAAAGAGGTGGGGGGAACAATGAAGCCAAGGGACTCCCAAGAAGCAAGTGAGATGCGGGAAAGATGTGAGAGAAGCTCCCAGTGCACTTCTAGCAACAGTCCGGAAAATCACAAAGCAACATTGAAACCGAAGATCCTTCTCGTGGATGATAACAAGATTAATGTGATGGTGGCACGGTCAATGATGAAGCAGTTTGGCTACTGCATAGATGTTGTAAATAATGGAGTCGAAGCTGTGCGTGCAGTTCAGTGCCATGGTTATGATCTCATTCTGATGGTAATTTCACTAGAATAATGAACTGTTTTCTTTTAAAGAAAAATCTGTATGTTTCAATTTTTTTCGTCATCGTTTTATATCACCATTTACCTGGTTACACATATTTTGTTTGGAAATAATCATGAAGTGAAGGAGAATAATATCTCGTCATGTACTTGGTGATGTAAAATGGTGAGCTAGGTAGCACAAGCTACTAAAAACTACGATGAGGCGTTGTTTCATGGGCATCTACATAGCAGCCAAGTAATAGAACAATTCCAAATCGTTGTTTATATAATGGTGAGGCCAGAAGAAAGCACACTGGGGGATAAGCTCAAATCACTCAATTTTTTTTTCATTATTCTCTCTCTGAAATAAAAAATGCGAAGTGGAAGATATGCTCTAATCAGTTTTTATCATTAATGTATAATTGCTTAAAGCTGTTGGAAACTGTGTACCATGTACAGGATGTATGCATGCCAGTAATGGATGGCCTTCAAGCTACAAGACTCATTCGTTCTTTTGAGCAAACTGGTAATTGGGATGCTGCAGTGAAAGCTGGAATTGAGCTACACATGTCCCCAAATTCATCACCAAATGATGAAGAATTTAACTTGCCGTCGAGAAACAAGATTCGCATTATTGCTGTAAGCACTTGAATACTTCTGCCAAAAAGGCTCCTTTAATCTGTCTAATTTTCTCTTGGTTGGCCTGAAATTTTCTTCCTTGCGTGCTCAACTCAACAAAAAACCATAGATCCCAACTACTTGGCTCTAACCAAACTATTTCCCTATTTAACTACTTATAGGACTATATCCTCCACAAAGATAGAGGCTATCAAGACTGTCTCAAAGTTCATCATCGACTAGATACTATGTTTAATATTACATGGACTCTTCAAAATAAATCAAACACCCATGTCAGACACCTGACACTTGGACAAGGGTGTGCTAAGAGGCACATACACTTCTAAGACGGTAAAGTGTCTTGTCCGACATGGACACGACACTTGTCGGGCACTTCCCAACACTTAGACACACATGAAAGACATTACAAGTTTGAATAAAATTACCTAGAATAAATAATAAAATGAAAGCAATATTAGTTTATACATATTCTCCTCCTTCAGACTTAAAAAATTATGGGACAATTACAAAAAAACACCTAGGGTTTGAGTCATGTAACAACATAAACCCTGAATTTTCAATTTTGTCAATTTAAATCCTAAACTTTTGATTTGTTTTCAATCTAAATCATTTGCCTATTTCCATTAAGTAAATTTGATTAAAAAATGGATATTTCAGTCATTAAACTCGATGAAAAGTGTATTTTAGACATTTTATGCATACCTATATTGATTTTAATGACTAATTTACTCTTTTTTCGTCGGTTTTACTTGACGAAAATAAGAGAATGGTTTAAATTGAAAACAAATCAAAAAATTAGGGTTTAAATTGAAAAAATTTAAAACTCATGGTTTATTTTATTACAAGGCTCAAACCTTTTTTTTATTTTTTTATTTTTTTGTAATTGTCTCAAAAATTATTATCTTCGACTTAAATATTCAAATATATGATATATACTAATTATTTATACTTATATATGACATATAATAAATATATAGCATTATAAATTTTGCTTGTGTCCCCCACATTCATGTCCTACGTTTTTTGGAAATTTACATTTCGGAGTATCCATGTCGTGTCACATGTCCATGCTTTTTAGAGGGTGTGTGATATGTGTCCAATACTTTCCATGGGATGCTTCTTATATATTTGTATTTAAAATGTCTTTTTGACATTGTATGTTACTTATAAACATCATTTAATCTCACATAATAGGCTAAACATATAAAAAAAAAAAATTAACCCTTTGTTTGGCCAACTCCATACCCTTAAATTTGAGGTTTGATGGATCTAATCTCTAGATATGCACCCGCACTCAAATCTCATATCCGAGTCCATGTAAAATAGACTGGCTATTGTACTTGCACTTTCCCCTCTATGCAGAAACTCTGCCTCTTTTCACCCTGATATTCATCCTGATATATGATAAATCAGTTTGAAGTTTTGCCTTGGCAACTGTTGCTCAATTCTTGCCCGGCAGGGTGTACTTCTATCTAGGGAATGCCTAAGCATTAGATTACAAACTGCCACTGGTATAAGTAAAGGTTCCATGCAAGTCCTCTAACTGCACTAGTATATGGCTCCAGTCTAGCACATTTATACATATCGCATACCCATTAGGTGGGCTTGTCTGCATTGAAGTGGGTCATCCTTCATCCTTCAGTGGGGTCTTGCTGTGAAGATTTTCTTTCGTTCTAACCGTTTTTTTTCTTTGTATTATTATCATTATTTTGAACACTGAACGGGAGGGGAAGTCGAACCCCTGACCTCCTAGTGAGGTACACGGGGTCTGACGACTACATTAACCCAAGTAGTTGCTATGAAGATTTCCAATTTCCAATTACTGTCCAATATTTTGGGGAATGACTTGACTTCTTACCACTTTCTTGTTGGACTCGTTGGTCAAATTAATCTCCTTCTGAAACTGCATGTGGACAAATATGTTCATTGGCTCGACATTGTGTTTGAATGTGGTTCATCTTTGAGTACCCACATAGGAACTTTAACTTACTTCTGAACTACAGTAGATTATCCAATTACTTGTATTAGGTTTCCATATGTAGCCAGTAGTCTTTAGCCGAATCCTGCACATTACACCATTTCAATGTGTTTACATAAACTCAAAAGTAATTGTCAAGTAGCCATTACTAAACCCATTATAAAACCAATCGCGGTAGCTCAGGTTGTCATTAGAACCAACCATAAACTCGAAGATCTTGTGTTTGACTCACACTGGTGACTCATTGACTGACTTGGAGATCTTGGCTGGTTACAAAAGAAAGTAAAAAGATCGTTAAATTTTAGACAAACCCAACTCATTGTAATTTTGACAGACGAGGTTCTTTGCACGCTTAAAATATGCAAGTAATGATTAATAGTTTAATGTTTCTTTTTTTTTTTCTCATTTTTTTAAATATTTACGTATATATGCTTGTATTTGTATGCATATCCATTGATGAAACTAGTTGGATAAATGCAGATGACAGCAAATGCATTGGCAGAGAGTGCAGAGGAGTGTTATGCAAATGGTATGGATTCATTTGTATCAAAACCTGTTACGTTTCAAAAGTTGAAAGAATGCCTTGAACAATATTTACCATGATATATATATATATATATATATCTCTTGCAAATGTTTCCATCTGTATAAAAAGGAAAGTTTTGTAATCAATGTATCATCTTTTGCAGTCATCAGAGTCTCTGCTGACTCGTATGTGTAGAATTTTTAGCTATCCAGAATTTTTTACTTGGAAAAAGTAGTATGGTTTAAATTCATTGAAAATGTAGATTCCATAATACATGAGTTGAATCTAGGCCACACACTGCCTTTTTGTATAAAATTCGGAGTACCTAGATTTTTATTTTGTTTTATTTTATTTTTTACCCTTCTTATAACTCTTTCATAGTTTGTTCTTGTTGTCTGGATAATGAGAGTGAAGACCAGATTTTCCCTAGGAAATGCTTTAATGAGCAGTCAGCGGATGGCCCATAAATGCAAATTTACTCTTACTCAAGGATGGGCCTTAGAGGGGGCAGGGGTGGCATTGCCCCTTACAATTTCAAAATAATCATTTGCTATCCTAGTATTGTTTATTAATTGTCTTTAAATTATATATGTTCACTCCTTTTTAAAGTATTTTTTGGTTTATTGAAATAAAGGTAGAGTTACCTTCTGTTTGTTTGAAAAATGTTTTATGCATTTGCTGGCATTTTGTATAACGAAAAACTTTCAATGGAAAGTATTTTCTCAACGAAAAACATACTTATTTTAGCGAAAAATGTTTTTCACTTTTAAAAAGCAAAAAACGTTTTCTAAACTAAAGTTTACCAATATCACCACATTACAAGCACTACCATCACCTTCAACACCACCACGGCCATGACTACCATCATTGTCATTGCCGCCACCACCTCTACTACCATTGTCACCACCACCACACCGCTACCGCCACTGTCTCCACCATCTCTACCATTTTCACACCACATTATTTTAGTTTCCACATGAAATTTACAAATTTTTGGTTTGGAGGTTGATTTCAGTACAAAATTCATTGGTCTAAAAGTTAATTTCTAAATCAGATGGTTTTGTTCGGAAATCAACTCCCAAACCAAAGTTATAGCTGAAATAGTTTGGTTCAAAAGTTGATTCCCAAATCAAATAGTTTAATTCAGAAGTTGATTTTTGAACAAAAATGATGTGTGCACTGGAAGCAAACCATGCGTGAAAATAAAAGTTCTCCTCATTGATGAAAAAGTGTCATGTGTGTATCCCTATGATCAACAAAGATCAAAACTTAAACTTGTATCACAAAATGCTCAAGTTTCGTTTGTTTGGACGTAAAATATTTTTCGTTGTTTTGTGGAAAAAAAACAAGTAAAATATTTTTTTAATGAAAAATGAGTTTTTTGAAATAGCCAAAAATGACTTGCATTCTGAAATTCAGTCGTTTTTGCTGGGCTTGGGTGAGCTTTCTGTGAATGCCACTTAAGTGCTTGGTAGAGAGTGAGATGAGTTTATGGAAATATTTTTCAGATGTAACCAAATACTGAAAAATATAATAAAAAAAATATATTTTTGTTTTCCAGAGTAAAATATTTTGCACGAAAACAAAGGGTGAACCCTTTATCAATCTTTTCAAAAATTTACAATTGTTAAATTATGTCTCCAAATTCTTACCTAATTAAACAATGTGATTTTTTGAGCAGAAGAATTTGGACATGAATTTCAGCTGAATTTTTAGTACTCTCTCTCTCTCTCTCATATTTGAATGGGGTGTTTGGTGGGACTTTTTTGAGCCAACTTATGACTTCTGGTTTTTAAAAAGTTATTTTAGACTGTTTGATTAAAACTTATTTTAAACAGCTTCTGATTCTAAGAACTTATTTTAAGTTAAAAAAGCTGATTCTGAGAAACTGTTCATCCCTTGATTCTGATGATCAGGTTCTGCTGTGGACATGTTAATTAACGATTATACTCTTAAATTTTTTTATTTTTTATTTTTTTTAAAAATAGAAAAAGACCCAAATGGACTATAAAATATTATTATTATTTTTTATGAGAAATGTAGACAAATAGTGAATAATAAAAAATAAAAATTAATTGAAAAAGCTGCTTCACAGCTTATTTAACAAATATTACTCAGCAACTTAAATCTATAATCCAACAGCTATACCAAACAGATTAACAGCTTCTGATTAAAATCATAATTTATAATCTGTTAAGTTATAATGTATAATCTGTTTTAACAGGAACACCAAACAGCACCATATTATGTTGGTGTCCATTAGGATTCTCCACTTATGTTTGTAAATTGAATATTGCTTTCTCACGTCAACACATATTCTATTCTGTAATGGAAACCACTTGGGTTTGAAATGCTCCTCCTCCAAGTATTATTTTTCAAATTTAATGATATCACCCCACCTTTTCTTTTGTCAACTTTAGGCAACAATCAAATTTTGCATTTCGACTTAACCCTCTTTCTTAATTTTTTTTAGGACTTATTTTACAGGTAAATGGTAATGCTTTGATTCCACACGACTAATAGTGAGGTATTAATAATCCAATCAAATTAGTGTGGTATTCACAATCCCACCCTTACCCCATTACTAATAATCCTACAAATTTGTTGGATTAATTATCCATTGAATTGATAATCCTAAAACAAAATGTCAAAACAAATATAGGATAATTGGGCCTGCAGATTAATAATCTCAATCCCATGTTTTAATCCTTCCAATCAAACATGCCAAAGTCATTACCAATACGTGATGAGAAACATCAAAGATAACTATCTATAAGTTGTTATTAAGGTGTAACTCAATGGTCTAATAATTACACCTTAGGATGTAGTAAGCGGGAGGTTAAGGGTTCAAGTTGATAGAGTAACAGCTGCCATTCAATTGTAATCTAATTATACTAACATACTAACGCTATCTCAAGAGAAAAAAAAAAAGTTGTTATTAGTGTTGAAAAATATGTAAAAATATTTTTAAAAATGTGCAATATATATTCAAATTATAAATATTTTAACCACTCTTAAAATTGTTATTAGCATAACTCATATATGATATATGTACACATATTATTGATCAAACTAGTTCATATATATCTAATGGGGAACCAAATAACGTGGTCAACAACAAACAAATTATGTGGCAAAACCCGATTGTTTGGAAATTAACTTCTAAACAAAATATAAAGCTGAATCATAAGGTTTTATTTAAAATTTAATTTTTGAACAGTATAATTTTATTCAGAAGTTGATATTCAAAAAAAAAAAAACTCATATGATAAAATAATGTAGTTTGTGTTGACACTACATTTTATTTTTCTGTCGATTGTGGTCTGGTGATTATGACATAGTTTGATTATGGTCTGTCGATTGAAATCATAAACTATTTTTAAAGAATAACCTTGGCCACATTTGTTATTATTATTATCTCTGTCAGAAGGCATGCTGACGTGGCATGGTAAGTGTGTTAAAGACATGGCATAACGTGACATGATAACATATTAAATAGAGAGTCAAAAAAGTTAACCATTACAAAAATGCTTGGTAGCCCAAAAAGGAGGGGCTCGAATGGCCTGAATGGGTGTTGACCGGACGTCCACCAGGACGACCGGGTGAAAACTTGTTTACCGCGGTTATTACCTTTGTTGACCGCGGCTATGAGCCTTCTCGCCGGACGATCGGTAAGATGAATTTCGAGTCATTCGAGCCAACCTTCTTTTTGGGCTACCAAACATTGCTCAAACCATTATAGCCATTTTGAAAGGTAGTTGTTGGAATCAAGGAATTAAGATTAGGTCAAAGTTCAAAATCTACAAAGTGGTTCCTATCAATATCAAACATGAGATATGGATGATATTGAGAAAATCATGGTATGTTGAGGAAATCATAAGTTTAGATTACATCTCTGTCTCTCTCTCTCACACACACACATTCATGTGGATGAGCCAATAAACAAACTAAGAGAGATACAAAGGACATACAACACAACTCATACAATGTAAATTTTAGGAGTAGTTACTTAGCATTTTAGGAGTAGCTCAGTGATGGTTACTATTTCTCTGTCGATCAGTGCATTTTTTAGTTCTTTATTCTTATTTAAATTCATGTAAGTTGTGGTAAGTGACATTTTACTTGATTAATACAAATTCAATTATCTTTTCTCATACTTCCTCTTTATTTAATTACTTGTAAAGAAATCCTTAATCTATTTAAAACATAGAACTCAACTACAAAGTTTGATCTTTTGTGTTTTTTGTGAAAGTTAAGTTTTTTTTTATTGATTGACCTTAAACAAATTTTTTGCTAACATAAATTGGCAGCAAACTCATCCATAGGGAATCATGCCTTCAACAAATATGTTTACATCTTCTGCATCCATGGACACAAATTATCAATGGAATGCATCATATTTCATATCTAAAAATTGTCAATATTATGGTGGTGGTTTTATTGCTTATTGCCAACAAAATGACATGACAAATGATATGGAAAAAAAAAATTTATTTGGCGTTATAAGGATGAAATTTAGTAGTGCGGGAGTGAAATTTTAGCCCTACGAAGAAAAATTAATTCTCTTTATGGACAAAAATTTCAAATAATTTCATCATGTCCATATTATTTGATGCAAAAAGATTTAAATTATTTTGATAAAAAAATTCATCAACTTGAAAGCCAAATTTACCTAATTAATGAAAGAGATTTGAGTTGGAAAGAGAAATTAATAGGTATAATGGCCAATAAAAAATTAAGGTATGAAAATAATGTGGCTAATAAGGTTAATACGTCTATTTTTACAGAGCCAACTATTCATGAGGAGCCAAGATATGTGGCTCAGGAGTTAACACATCAAGCCATGAAGATAACGTGTCTTTGGAGAGTTTTCGTAACCCATTAATGACTAAAATTAAAAAAATAGGCCCTTATCTTGAAACATGTTGAAAATTCATCACAAAACAATGGTGAATATTCACTTAGGGGTTATTTAGTGGCTAGGTTTAATGAAAACTAGAAGAATGGTCAAGAAGCATCAAATGTAGTCCAATTCAGTGGCTTGACACCAGAGTAGATGCATGACATGATTGCTCAAATAAGGCAGACATTGGATATGAGGCCTGGGCAAAATACTAAGGAAGTGAGAGCTAAATGCAGGGCAATTGGAGGATCCAGTCGTACACCTAGTCTACCAAGGCTAACCAGAGTTGAGACACAAGTAAATAAGGTACAATTTCAACCATGTTTTACTCAACCCATTTTAACTCAAGCTTTCACAACTAAGTCTGGTAAGACCCAAGCTCAACATGGGTCCACTTCCTATTACAAACCTCTAACCCTCCAAGAGGAGGC